CCCCGGGGGGGGGGGGGGGGAGGGGGGAGAAGAGTGCACTGGCTGTTGGCCCCACCCCAGGGGTCTATCAAATAGTCATGTAACTGATAAGATTTCAAGTGGTTATGTGACTATTCAATTACACTATATCTAACATCCCTAGTTTGCAACCTGGTTACCTATAGAATTGCCTCTCTCCCTGCTTTTGCGATTAATGTCTGTGGAGGTTCTTGAGCTGAACCTCCTTCTCTACATACAGGAAAAAGTTGCCAGCAGAGTGCTCTCCATGAGGGTCCCTCACCTCTGGAATTCCTTTCCCACACTGGGTTAGCCAGACCACAGAACTGTTAAACTTCAGGAATGCTGCTCATCCCAATGTCTTTTCCCAAGCATTTACCATTTGGGGAGGGGAATGTCTGAAGTTTGCTGTTTATATATAACTAGCTGGACTGACCCGGCGTTGCCTGGGAAACCGGAGGAACAAAATTTAGAAAAACAGAAGCTGGTCCTGACAGCCTCCAGCCACACCGCAACTGCCAGTACCTGACATCTGGCCATTATGGTAGACCACCATGCTTTTCTACTGCTGCATACTGCAAAATCTCTGACTCAAAAAAGAGGCATTGCAATGTTGAGAATCAGAGCTATTTGACTTGGCAAACTTAGATACAAAAGTCACAGTAGAAACTATGTCTCTGTTTTCTTCCCATGTCATGAGTCTTGGAGCCATTAAAAGCACAGTGGAAGGGAGAGCCCCCAAGTCATCATGGCTTGTTTCCCCACCATTGTTGGAAGCATATGGAGGCCCCTGTTCAATAGTGCCATGTTTTGCTTCCTATCAAATTATATTTTTGCTAATTATCCTTGTAGAAGCTACTTTTTTTTCGGTAGAGAAGTAGGGGATAGGCTTGCTGGGTCTGCAACTTCTCATCCAAGAGCTGAGTATAGGGATGTCTCAATCAATGGGGCTGAATCCCTACTGAATCTGAGAGATTTCAAGGTGACAATTATATTTTTGCTAATTATCCTTGTAGAAGCTACTTTTTTTTCGGTAGAGAAGTAGGGGCCAGCACCACCTTCTTGACCAGCTGCCCCTCCCATGGAC